GAGGGTTTTCAGAGGCAGTAAATCCTACTGAAGGAGATTGCCCATCATTCTCCTGTTAGATGGAGGGGGAGAGAGAGAGGCAAGAACCTGCTGCTCTACAATCCCAAAGGCACGTGGTTTGAGGCTACCAGCAGCTCTGTGGGAGAAGGATGGGAAATCTCCCATGCAATTAACTGCCTCTGAAAATCCACTGGAGGGTCAGCTATGGGTCAGTTCCAACTTTATGTATAAATATAGGTCAGTTCCAACTTTATGTATAAATTATATATTTATTATATAGACATATGCAGGAATGGCATCACTTCCTAAATAACATGACTCCAGAAACTCTATGAACTATGATAAATGTCAATAGTTGTAGAGGGGCTTCAGGTCTTTTGTTCATAGGAATGCCATGAATCGTGCTCAATGTGAAGGCAATCAACATCAACAACAATACACATACACACACATGCACACACATATATATGTATATATGTTTTTATATGTGTAAGATTGGATATAAATTCAGAGCACATGTAAAAGTATGTGAAGTGTTTGGTATCAACCTCACATATAGTCAATGATCAGTGACAGTTAATTACCATTATAATTTAGGGAGTTCTGGTGGCCTAGCGGGTAGGGAGTTGTGCTGCCAAGCCCAAGGGCAGGTGGGTCATAGAGTAAAGATGGGCAATTCCTTCCCAGCTGCTTGGCAAAAGAAAAAGTGGTCAATCACCTTCTATGCAATTTACAGCCTCTGAAAACCCTCTGGAGGGTCAGCTATGAGTTGGTTCTGACTCGATGACAATGAATTTGGATTTTAAAAAAATATCATTATAAATATTATCATTTCTATTACTGTAAAGAAAGTAACACCCTGACAAATTAGGAAATCTGAGATTTTTGTGTGACAGAATTGGTCCTAATAATTAGGTTGATTTAGAAAGCAGATCAACTTTCTCCTACAGTTTTGCATTGATAAAAAGCTGCAAGGTATAGATCTTAGAGCAGCATCCTGGAATCTGCCTAAATAAAGCAAATGAAATTTATTGAGGAACAGAAAAGGTCCAGACCAGGGGAAAAATGCCCATTGTCACAGAGTGGAAAATGGCCACTGCCAGCTACAAACAGGATGCAGTCATACAATCTTATATTGTTTAACTAAAGGTTTAGCTCATAATTGACTAAAAGACTCTCAAGGGAGGTAAAGGTGGGTTATCTAGAAGCAGGATTTGGCAGTGGAATTGCATGACTGGCCAGAAGTGCATGCCATTCAGTGATCTCAGATCACAGGTTGATCTGAGGACAGTGGACAGGACTAGCTTTTCCCAAACTCAAAACTCATTGTCATGGAGTTTGAAAAAACTCATAGCTGATCCTCCAACAGGATTTTGGAGACTGTAAATTGCAGAGGAAGACTGCCTCATGGAACACCTGCTGGATTTGAACTCCAGAGGCCCTGCCTTTGGGTTAGAGTGTAACTGCCTATTTACTATGCCATTCCATTCCTCAATCATACCTGACTCTAGGAGTCTGTTTGTAAAGATTTATCGATATGGCAGCATTTCAAGAGCCTTCAAACATGAGCTCTAGCGTTGTACACCAATTTACCTGTATTGACAAGAACTGTTAGACATCCTACACAGCCAAACTTCAGAGAACAGAAATGGTTTCCTAGAGGTATATAGCCCAAGTCAGCATCAAGGTTTAAGGGACCGACTGCTTCTAGCAAAGGCAGTTTCTGAAAACCCAGCATGAACTCCAGATTCATGGCAAGACTTCAGAATGGAGTTAAGGCTCCACTTTTTAAAATACCCTGTTTATATACCCCCTAAGTGCTCTGATTTTAGATTCAGAGCTGTAATCCTACTGTCATCTGTGTTTCAGGTTAGTGATCAAACTGAAAACTAAATCCATTGCTTTGGGCTCAATTCATAGCAGACCCTATAGGATAGTGGAGAATTGCCTCCCAGTGTTTCCAGGACAGCAATTCTTACAGAAAGCAGCCCTTGTGGAGATATTTAAATTGTTGGCTCAATAATAAAAAAAGTTCATAGTTGGAATCCACCAGCGGCTCTGTTGGAAGAAGATAAACAATCTCTTTCCATCAAGAATTATAGTCTCCAAAATCCATTGGGGAGTGGTCAAGAGTTCACATTGAAGTGAGTTAGTGGAATTGTTACTGAGGTTGGTAAGTGCTAGTGACCCTGACTCACAGCAACCCTACATAAAACAGACAGAAACCTTGCCTGATCCTGTGCCATTCTTACTATGTCTGCTGTCCTTAAGCCTATTGCTGTAATCATTATGTCAGTCTAGCTTATTAAGAGTCTTCCTCTCTTTTACTGATCTTCCACCTTTCTAAGCATGACATCTTGGAAACCCCTTCTGACAGCATGCCAAAATTAGTCTCACAGTCTGCTTCTATGGAGCACTCAGATTCTGCTTCTTCCAACACAAAAGTGTTAGTTCTTTTGGCAGTCCATGGTACAGCCAATATTCTTTACCAACACCAGAATTTGAAGGCATCAACTTTCTGTCATTACAGTCAATGTTCAACTTTCATACACATATGAAGCAATTTAAAATAGCAGTGTTTGGATCAGGTGCACCTTAGTCTTTAATCTGGCATCCTTGCTCTTTAACACTTTATAAAGTTTCTTGATAGTAGATGTGCCCAAAGCAGTACATCTTTTGAATTCTTGACGTCCTCTTCCAAAGATGTTCATTGTAGATCCAAGCAAAAAGAAATCTTTGACAATGTCAAACTTTTCTCCATCTATCATGATGATGCATGTTGATTTAGTTGTGAGGATTTTTGTTTATACTGAGCTGTAATCCATACTGAAAGCTAGAAAGTTATTTTCTTGAGTAAGTGCTTTAAGTCCTCTTCACTTTCAGCAACCATGGTTTCCATATTGCAGGTTGTTGATGAGTCTTCCTCCAAAACTAATGGCCAGGATACAAATTGAACAGGTATGGCGAAAGATTACAACCCTGATGCACACTAAGTAGAGACAATCTGCCGCAATCTTTCTCCCACCGAAGACCATGTGGTCTGCAACCTGTCCCTCAGCCGCTTTGGCTAAGCCATTGCACACCAGGGGTCCTGTAAATTAGCAATCGAATCAATGAAGAGCTTTTGGGGGAAAACAGTTGCCCAGGAAAGTACGTCTACTTCCACTTTCCAACAAAGGTCACTTGTTCCTAAACCATAAGTGATTCTATAGACTTATGCCTGTTAATAACTCCTAGCTGCTAAAAATCAAAATGAAATGCACTCTTGCAAAAGAAGCTTTCTTTTAAGAATCGCCAAGAACTTGTAAAATCTTTCCTAGGTTAAACTCTTGGAGACCTGGATGCCGAGAAGTGGTGACAAAGGGCAGGTTGTCGGGCACCGAGCACCCGGAGACCTCTCCGTGCGCCGACGCAGCCGCAGGCGGGGCCTGGGCGGAGGGCAAGGCCGCCCGACGCCGCCGCCGCGAGCCCGGACCTGCCCGGCCGACCTGGCGGCGCAGTCTCGCGGGACTGCTCAGCTCTCGCGCCCCGTGTGGCCCGGGCGGTGGAGAGGGTCCCGGACGCTCCCCGGAGCCGTCGGAGGCCGCCGGGGGCGGTGGGCTGGACGGGGACGGGGAGGAAGGACGGCCTTCGACCCCCCGCCCGAGGTGAGGCTCCTGCGCGCGCGGCCCCTGCAAGGCGAGTGTGGGCGGCCCGGGCCCCGGGGCGCGCGGGGAGGGAGTCCCGGGCCCCGAGAGCGCAGGGTGAACAGGGGCCCCTGTAGCGCAGCGAGGGAGTCGCGGCCCCGGAGCGCGGGGAGGGGGTCCCGGGCCCCGAGAGCGCGGAGTGAGCCGGGGACCCCAGAGTGTGGGGAAGGAGTCCCGGCCCCCAAGAGCGCGGGGAAGGAGCCCCAGGTGGCTGCACGCTTGGAGCAGCAGGTGGAAGGGAGGCGATGGTGGGACGGTCAGCGCTCGCCCAAGTTTCTTCAGAAGTTTGCGCCAGCTCCTGAAAGGAGTTGTGAGGTCCCCTGTTGTGCAGGGACGCAGCTCAGGCTCCAGTCTGGGGCCTCCAGATGCCCTGGTATTTGGCCTATCACCTTCCCGGGCAGATGCCAACAAGTGCCCCGGTGTAGGACCCACCACCTTCTCGAACAGAAGCCCCCGGGTGCCCTGGTGTAGGGCCCTCTACTTTCCCAGGCAGATACCCCCATGTACCCCAGCGTGGGGCCCTCCACCTTCCCAAGTAGGTGCCCCCAGTTGCCCCAGTGTGGGTGGAGCCCACCACCTTCTTGGGCAGGTGCCAACAATTGACCCGATGTAGAGCTCACCTTCTTGAACAGATGCCCCGTGGGGCCCTTCACCTTCCTGGGCAGGTGCCCAATATTGGGCCCATGACCTTTTTGAGCTTCAGGACCAGGTCCCTGTGCGCTCCTGTGGGGAACAGGGGGATGGGCATTCATAATTGGAGACACACCACTTCTCTGGAGAGGACCCCTCCGTTGGACGAGACAGATTTGCTCATTTTCCCCTTTCTGCGGAACCACTACACTGAGCCCCGAAAAGGGCCATCTCCCACCTCTGCAGTCTGAACCCTAGAAGTCACCCTCCTAGTGTTGTGAAAATCAGGAAGAGTATTTTCCAGAAGATGGCCACCAACCCTGCCTGGCCTTTCAGAGTCTCTGTATTTAGAGTCCAAGGATTCTTCAGGGCTTAAGCCATTTCCCAGGGCTTAATAAAATTTCCAGCAGGAGCCCATGGATTTTGTGATTCTGTTCATCCTTTTTTTTAACTTGTTGCTAACACCCAGCATTCCTTTTTTTCCTCCCTGGAGATAGGACTTCCTCTGCAGTTGGCACATTCCATGCCAAAGCAGGTGAAGGGTATCTGAGTAGGATGGAATTTTCCATGGTTTTCCCAGCATTTATTTTATCTCCAATGAACATTTCAACTCAGCCCTCTGATGTCCCTATTTGAGTTTTTTGGCAATTGTTACTGATACACCCTATTGGTTTTTTTTAATAGTTATTTATCCAGAGCCCATTTTCAGGAAAAGAGCTTCCTTCAACATGGAAAATAGTGATATAAGGAATCTGGACATTTTGTGTTTGGATGACAGTCTTCTGAATGAATGAATGAAAAGAGCACTTAATCCAAAACATGTGGTGAAGACAAGAATTTGAAGATGGAGGAGTTTACATTTTTGTTGGCATGCATTTTTCTACCCCTTATAAGAGGGCACAGTTTCTTCACCTGTGAACCCATTACTGTTCCCAGGTGTATGAAAATGGACTACACCATGACTTTTTTCCCTAATCTCATGGGTCATTATGACCAGGGAACTGCGGCTAAAGAAATGGAGGTAAGTGTTTTTTTCATACTTTCATAACACATACTTTATACTTTGTTCTACAGTAAATATATGACTTAAAAAATGGTAAGAAATGCATTTAAATTATGTAGTTGAATCTGTAGTAGTTCATTCAGTTGAGCAAATGTTATGATTCAAAACCTTATTTTGAATAAATACTTTTGAAAATTGTGTCTCCTACTAACTTAATGTTTTGTGTACTTGGGACCCCCATTTTGTGGAGTTAATGCAGGACTGACTTTTTATAAAATAAAGTAGTTATGAATGATTTTTAAATATGTTGACCCTAGCAAATGTATTTTGTCTTTTTAAATCTATCGTGCTTGTTCTTTCATAAATGCATATTTTTATTTTTTTCCACTCTAATTCATTGACCATTTTATTTTATGTTGCCTTAACAAAAAGTAAAGAGATTTACACATTGTAAATCGTTGTGATATTCTCTTGACATTTCTGAAATACATTACTGGGAGATTCAGGAGCTATAGAAATTCTCTTGCTAAAGAGGGACTTTGTTTTTTAGGCATGGTATTGATGTGTTCTTTGTCTGAGGCCTGTTAAAAGAAACTATGTCAGGGGAGGAGCCAGTGCCAGTAAAGATTGCCTTAGGTTCCTCAGTTACCTGCTCAGGTGTAGAGATATGCAGATGCTGGGGAGGTGTGGGAAGAAAGTGCTACTTGTTGAGACAGGAACCTGCCCTCCTGTACAGATCTGGAAGGCTCAGAAGTCCAGTGATGGGAAGGTGATAAGGACGTTCTTTTTTGTATTTTTTTATTTTTTTTAAAGAAAAACTCTTTAAGGGTGATAAAGGCTTTCTCCCACCTACCCCAGATGATTTTTAACAGATGAAATGCCTACGCATTTAGCAGAGACACTACTTTTAAAACTGTCTAGATTCTGTTTTACAGCTTTGAAAGTCTTCCATTGTTGTTGAGTAGTTGCCTGGCTGCTTCCTTGTGGACTCATGTCAAGAGCAGAGCTTTAAAAGGCTAAGGAAATGTATTTTTAAGGATATTACAATCGCATTGTAGCCATTTGGTATAAGGAGCCTGTTGGTACAGAGGTTAAGCACAGGACTGCTGAGTGAAAGGTAACAGTTTGGACTCACCAGACGTTCTCAAGAAGGATGTGGTAGTCTGCCCCTGTAAAGATTACAACCAAACACCCGCTGGGGCAATTCTGTTCTGCCCCACAGGCTCACTAGGCATTGGAACTCACTGACAGCAAATCTTTTGGTGGTTTTTCAGACCAGTACAGGATACCATAATGATGCTGCACCACTTTTACTGATTAGTCACAACTGTTTTGATGTTTCAATCTGATCAAAGTATGAAGTAGAAATCCCTTCAAGGAATAATTATTCCTCACATCTTCTCTGATGATAATAATACATGTCTTATAATTCATGCCTTACAGTGTTCTTTATAGTGTGTGGGTTTTGTTTGACTTTCTTTTGTGTAGTAGCCTACACACAATGTTAGTGTGAATGTTAGCATTCAGATCATTTACACTAATTTCAGATTGCTTATATGAAGTTCTTTATTGAAGAGTACCATCACAAGGGTAAGAGACATACTCTGCACATGTCTTTTCAAAGCCAACAGTTTCTCTTTTTTCTGTGTATACCCATGTGTTGTAGCTCTGGCCTAGTGGGTAAGGAGGTACACTGCCAACCCAAAGGCAGGCAGTTTGAATCCATCCATTTCCCAGGGAGAAAGTATCATCCTGTGTGACTTACAGTCCCTGAAAACCTGCTGGAGGGTCAGCTATGAGTCGGTTTCAACTTGACACCAATGAGTTGAGTTTGAGTTATTGGCACAATCCATAATAAGTGGTGCTTTTACAATCCAGTAATCATCTCAGAGTCATCTGGCGTGGTTTTCTCTCAGCATAAGGTCGAATTTGTTTTGGACCCTTTGAGAAACTCTAGTGGCCTAGTACTGCTAACCCCAAAGCCATACCTCTCGTGGTTCAAATCTACTAGCCACTCAGTAGGAAAAAGCTGGGCAGTCTCTTCCTTTGTAAGTTACAGCCTCAAAAACTTGCTAGAGGGGCAGCTGTTCTTCGGTTCTGAATGGGCAGTAAATGAGTTGGAGAGTTTTAGTGGGTGTTCGGGGTTTATTTTGGTTTTGGTTTTTACCTGGTGAATCACTAGGATTTGGAATTGACTTGGTGGTGGTGGATTTTGTTGTATAAACAGAGAAATGTTTCCTAAAATTCCAAGAATATTCATATCAGTCTCTGGGACTTCTTTGCAAACTTCATTTAGAGAAAATTGAAGTGAGTGGAATTTTCCCCCTCTCTGTTAGCTCATCTAACCCAGACACTCTCATTTGTGTCTTGGATTCAAAGTGTGGTCAGAATTTTTAGATTAAAAAGAAGTCTTTACCCATCTCCATGCCTTTAGTCTCTCCTCTCTACGTGTACCAAAATTATTTTATTATAATGCAAGCCTTCAAAGTCTACTTGAGTGTTGGACTTTTTTTACCAGTTTCTGAAGCTTAAAAAAATGAAGATCTAACTCCAGCATGGTGCCCAAAGCTTCTCTCGAGGGCTGCTGCCTGTCTGTCCAGCCTCCCGTCTCACCCCCTCCAATGTTGCACCCTTTACTATATACTTAAAAGAGGCAAATCTGTGTCACTCTTTCACCTCCATACCTTTGCATGCTCTACTTTCTACCTGGTGTGCCGCCTTTTTTCTCTCTCCATTAATTTTAATGAACATTTACAGAGATTTTGGATTTCCATTCATTCATTGTTGCACTTTTCTCCCTGCCCACCCCTCCCCTCTAGTTCCCTCCTCTCTTTGAAAAGAAAAAAAAATCCTTCATTGGTATACAATTCCCCAATCCTCCCTCCCCCAGTACACTTCACTATGCAACCTTAATTCTGCACTCTTGTGATAACCATAATACCCAATCATATATCGCCTTTAATCTGTTCTTTCCCTCATCTGTTTCAATACAGTATACCTTCTAACTATATCTGTCCCATTCCTTCAGTGTATGGTTAAAATGGTCTTTGTGCTTCAAAAAGCTTTTCTCTGCATATTTAATCAGCTTACTCCTATATATTAAACCCTTCTACGTATTGCCATCAAGTAGCTTCTAACTCATGGTGACAGGTGTTATACAGCAGTTCCGTGGGGTTTCCTCTCTTCTTTACAGAAGCACATTGTCATCTCCGATTTTCACAGTGCTGCTGGGTGTATCTGAACCACCAACCTTTCCGTTAATTGAACACACACCTTTTACATCACTCTGGGACCTATATGCTCTTACAATACTTAGTGTATGTGACTCTTCTGATTCTTCTCAGGCTGTATTGCACTTAGTTACGTGTCATGCTAGTTTATAAACTTTGGTGAGAGCAGAAATGGTATTTAATGCCTGGGATGCTCTCGTGGCCGAGACCATACGGAACTGCATTAATCCAAAGGCCAAGCTTCTCTATTAGGTTCACATCCTGCAGCAGCTCTAAGAGAGAAACAGTCTCCTTTTTGCCATCTAGTCTCAGAAGCTTAATGGAGCATCAGCTGTGAGTCACTCCCAACTTGGCAGCGATGAGAGAGAGTGAACCTAATGTCTCATGTAGAACCTTTAAGCATTGTACCTATTTAATAGAGAGTGGATAAAGAAAATGTTCTTTCCCCAACTAATCAGCAAAGAAAATTTACAGTCTTTACTTTCTACATGTTCTGTGGTTGTTGTTGTTGTTGTTGTTGTTATTGTTATGTGCCATCAAGTCGCCTACTACTCATAGCGACCCTATGTACAACAACCCTAAACCCTGCTCTATCCTGTGCCATTCTCACTGCCTCTGACACACCCATCCCGATTACCCCAGTCACTGAATCAATCCATCTCATAGAGGGTCTTTCCCTCCTGCGCTGTCCCTCAACCTGCCCAAGCATGACGTCCCTCTCCAAGGACTGGTCCCTCCTTACAACATGCCCAGAGTATGTCAGACAAAACCTCAGAATCCTTACCTCCAAGTAGCAGTGTGGTTTAAGCTTCTCCAGGGTGAATCTGTTCATCTTAGTAGTCCATGGTATATTCAGTACTCTTCTCCAGCACCACAGCTCAAAGGCATCAATTCTCTTTATATCCTCCCTAGTCTTTGTCTAGCTCTCTGATGCATAGCAAGGATTGCAAAGACCATGGCCTGTATCAGACGCACCTTAGTCTCCAAAGTGATACCATTGCTCTCTGGTACTTTGAAGAGGTCCCTAACAGCAAACTTTCCCATGGCAATATGTCTTTTAATTTCCTAGCTGCTAGTGCCAAGAGTGTTGACTGTGGAGCCAGGCAAACGAAAGCTGTGAACAATCTCAATCTCTTCACCATCCATCCTGATGCTGCTAGTTGGCTCAGTGGTGAGAATTTTTGTCTTCTTGATAGAACATGTAAAAATGTTCTGTTGTAGCCATGTGAAAGTCAGACGTTCTAATATTTTAGGTAGTTTACATAACTTTTTTTTTCTCAAACCTGGTTCTAATAAAATATCTAGTTTGACATTCTTTGTCTGCTTTCTCATGTTTATACACATTTATCAGGTTTTATTGAAAGGCTGAGTTTTAACCATTAATTCCTATGGAATTTTGATTGAACAGTGTAGGCTAAGTTATTTCCGTCAGAAGTTTCTTTTTCCCCCAAACATTGTGTTAGTATTTAAGATTATTGTCCTGTCAAATAATATAATTGCATATTATTTGACTTTTAATAAAGATATGTTTTATAACTTCTCGGAAGAATAGATTGGGATTTATACGTCCAGATTATTGTATTTGGTTCCTGCTGGAACAAAGTTGACTTCTTGTGAGTTGGTTTTAGGATAAAGATTTGGGGAATTATCTGGTGACAATGGCCACCAGTTGTGCTTTTAAGAATTTAGTATTAGTTATCTTACTCCTCTTTTATGCTCCACTTTCATTTTGTGTGAAGACTAATATGTTTTATAAAATTTAAGTATTTGTGTTTAGTGTTTATCTGT